CGTCCTCGGCGGGGTTCAGGTTTCCCCGCCCTGCCCAGCGCCCCCGCTCCTACCTTTTTTTTCTTTTTTTATTTTAAAGGAATATAAACAAATTTAAAATAAAAATAAAAATAAAAATAAAATAATACAAATTTTTACATATAAAAATTTTTAATTTTGGTTTACATATATATATAAATAATTTTTTAATTATATTATTAAGCGGGGTGGGGGCGAGTGCGGGGGCGGGGCGGGTATTAACATCCCCGTCCCCGCTTTTATCAGTTGGGGAAAACTCGAACCTGAACCAGATAAACACGAGTTTTCCCTATCCAAATCGAGGCAGGGTTGGGCGGGTACCCACGGGGCGGGTTAGATTGCCATGCCTAATCAAACTCAAGATGAAGACATGTTGTATTTAATTTTGATGATTATAAATATAAGCCTTTTAAATGATAAAAGTGTAAATTGTATATTATTTTTGTGTTTATGCTTTATTGCTTATGTGTTTTATGCTTTATATGTAACTTAGCGTTAAATCTCGATCTAGATGATGTTTGATGATGAAAAGAGGTTTCTTAAAAAGGACTAGTATGAAAAATTGAGATATATTATCACTCCTTATATATTCTGTGTTTGTGTTTGAGCTGATTGTCATTTGCATGCTTAAGTTAAGTACAAGAGGAGAAGTTTAATGGAGGCAAAGTTTAGAACTTCACTAGTATTGGGATTTATTCTAATTAGTGACATCGGGACAGAGAATTTATACTTTTCTTAATATATAGTTGTAGTTATTTAAATATGACGATTTATGTTTTATGTTGAAAGTTTGTGTAAATAGGCAGTTGGTGCCTTATTTGAATTTATGCAATATTTGGTTCGTTTTTTACTAAAGAGTTTCATTTGAAAGAAGGGTGAATCCTTTTACTAGAGAGTAATATTTAAGTTGTTTTATAATACCTTTTTAATTTAATTGTGTGTTATTTTAAAATCTTTATTTATTTTGTCCGAGGTGGAAAGGTGTCACACTTGTACTTACAATTACATGTTATAGGTAAAACTTACAACTCATTGTTATATGACTCACATAATAAATGAATAAATTGTCTATTAAAAAATGTAAAATAGACATCTACTTACTTATTTTAAACTTTCAACGATAATTTATGTTCATCATTACAAGTCAATTTTCTTGTAGTAATTTTAATTTTTAAAAGAATAAAAAAATTATAAAAATCAAAATCAAAATCAAAATTTATTCATTTTATAAAGATTAAAAACATACATTAAAAAATTGTTAAAACTCTAATATTTGAGTGTAGGATAATACTAATAATATTACATGTAAGTTTTATATAAAAAAATATTAAAAGAATAGTGTACCGGGAGGACCCTATCGGTCACGTTGACCAACACGTGCCGTTCCGTCAGACACCCATGCGAACTGGACCATACCCAAGGCTGACGTTAGCATCGGCTCAGCTTATAGCCGAAGGCCGAGATTAGTCAACTGGCACATGTCGGCTCGGCTGAAGGCCGATGCAAACAGCATGATGCATCCCCGCATACTACGTATCGGCTCGGCCCAATGCCGATCCGATAAGATTACCAAGTAAACGTTTACCGGCCCGGTCAATAGCCGAAGACATGCAACCTCCCAAGCATTAGCCTGTCGGCTCGGCAATGTGCCGATAGGTTAAACGGGTTATAGTACAAATCACAGTTAACAAGGACAAGTGCATAATTAAGACATGATTAGCTTATTAGCATCGTATTACCTAATCTGGTAAAGATTAGAATAGGCCCACCACGTTCAGGCCCATGTCAGGTATTATAAATAGGTCACACGTAACGAGGTACGTCACTGTTCATTAATTA